TATACCATAAAGCGATGATGCATTAGTTTCTTCTTGACAAACTATACAAGTTCCTGTGGGATATGACCAAAAAGTCTCTGAGCTTTTTATAATATCAACTTCTAATTTATCTCCGGTAGATGGAATTTCCCAATCCTGATCCATTTCATCATTATCATATAATTCCTCATGTTTATCTATAAAACTTTTTTGTGCAATAGCGAACTGTTCCATAATCTTTTTTTGTCTTTCTTTAGCGGCTTGTTTTTTCCGTTCATATTCCGAAAGCCCATCTTCCTCCCCCGTTTTTGACTGCGATTCGAGTCGAATTTTCTCATAATGCTTAGAGATGGCCATTTTAGCTATATCACTACCCAGCTGTTCAAACTTATTGATTATAAAAGCTATTTTGTGATGAAATTCTTTGAAACTTTGCTCGCAAGAAAATTGAAGTAATAATTCTAATAAGCTTGTGCCATGAGTTTCCATTGCGTTATTGTTTGTCTCGTGGAAGTAGTCGTTTGTGGCATAATACATGAACCCAGGCATGCCCTCATCAATATCTGTTGATATCGGTGCATCGATTGCTTTTTGCTTGCCCTTTCGCTTGTTTTCCCGAATAATATCATTATTTTCGTCTGATAAGGCTAGCATAGCTAGATGAAGTGCTTCATCTATCAGCGTGTCTGATTTAATTTTTTCTTCAGTTTTAACGTGCCAAAGAGAATAAAATATTATTTGGTTTAACAAACGCGCATGGAGAATATTTCCCAACCGTACGTAGGGTCCACTGGTAATAGGAATCAATTTTGGTATGATTAATGGCGTGCTTTGTTTTTCGAAACTATCCATTTTTTTCTTCATTCTATTTTTCAAAGCTTCTTCCGCTTCTTCGCGATTGTTTCGCGAATAATGTATAAAATAAGGATCTACTTCTTCAAAATACTGATCGTTAAGCTCATATAGCCCATGATCAGTTAATGTATCCGGGGGACGATAATGGGAAAGTTGTTTTAATATGTCGTCAAACAGTGGATCCCCTGTAAGACGGTCTGGTATACGTTTTGTCAATTCCGAATACGCTATAGAACCTAAGCACAACCCGTGAATTATTTCTCGTCTAATCTCTTGTTCAACGGTCAATCCAGCCGCATTAGCACGTTCACTGACACAAATAATCAAGAGTGCTAATAGTTCTTCCGCAATGAATATTAATTGTGAAGTATCATATATATTGTGTGTAGTTCCACCATTAAACCAATCTACAAGGTCAAATCGGTCCAAGATAGTAGCGAGAACCAAATTTGGATCCAAAATAACCATTGCAGTCTGAATAAGAAAGATGTCCTCGTCATAAGTATTTTCTCGAAGGGAAAACTCTCGGTAATGATGACACTACAATTTAAAATAAATAAATATTGAGCCAAAAATATATTGCGATAAATATTCTATGGAGTACTTACTTGACCGCGAATACCAAAACCATTTCGCACCCATAATCCAGCACGAATCTGGGCTAGAAGTACCAACACTATTCAAACAAAGGCAGTTAAAGAATTTGTAAATGAAGCTCCAAATCGTTTATAATACTTACCTCTCAACGGATAATCTAGAACACCCAAAATTTTTTCTATAGCTTTTTGATTTACTAAACTTGTTTCCGCGCTTCCAACATTAAATCCTAATATCATATTCTGTAAACTATCCAACCCATATTGCTTTAAAATATCGTCATCCAATAAATCTACATGTTCTAGCAATTCAGCCAAAAACCAGTGTAATGGGTGATGAAAGCTTACAGGCTGCGAAGCAACTTCAAACTTTACAACCTTGAAAGAAAGTAAATAATTATTCTGTGGAAAAGTTACATCGTGAAATTCTGGCTCGCGTATAGGGGAACTAATGCCATCCTTATCATCACTTCCATCCGACGATTTGGTAGTACTTGCAAGTGGCTCATATGAACTAGGAGCGGATGTTACCCAATTAGGAGTTAAAGCTTCCTTTTGATGTTCATCACTTGTTTCATCCATTTTGTCTACATCATCTTCACTCCTCACACATATTTCATATAATTTTCGTAAGACCATGTGAATGGTCGTACATAATGTTGCAGTATCTACAGCGTAACACTCTGAAAACTGACGACAACTTTTGGCTATCTGTAAAGTAGCATTGAACGCATTTACCCAGCTATCATTCTCATATTCAACGTGTTGCTGAGTAGCACGCACATTAGGGTTCATTCCTTGGAACAAAGCAATCAAATTGAGATACTGGGCCAGATAATAATGTTGGTTTGGAACTGCCTTTTTTACAATATCATTGCTAATGATGTACCGAAGATCTTGAAATATGTGAAAATAACGTCGATTTTTAAAACTGTCAGAATCACAATCGATTTTTGCATGTAAATTTATAGGGCCTCCAACTGTATCTGAGGTGAAAAATGTGTGAAGTATTGCAAATATTGTGGAAAGGAAGTTGTATTGTGTGACAAGGATGGCAGATATAGAAGGTACAGTAAAGAGTTGAACAGAGAAAAGGACAATAGAATGCTCAGGTTCACGATCTGGCGTAAGAAATGCCTTTGCAAGTTTGACATAATTACGAGCAAACCGAATACCTAACAGCATCAAAGCGAATGAATATCAGATAGTGACAATACACATAAAATGCATTCAAATAATAAATTAAAATTACCCAAAATCTTTTTATATTCTCGACTCACAATCAAAGACCCTACATATAACTCTCTAAGACCTGCTCGTGCCGCTTTCCAAAGCCTTAAATCTAATAGTAACAACTTATCTAGTCGCAGTTCCTTTTTGAAATCTTTGATAGATTGGCATAATATATATTCATCTTCATCCATAAGCTCTATGGTGTCGTTTGATTCTTCGTCCATTGATATATCATCATCAATATTGTACTCAGTAGATTGATTACACTCAGTAGATGCATCATCCTCAATATTCATGCCATTATCATGATCTACGAATACCATTACTTCATCGTCACTCATATCTCCATTTTCCGCTTGAATATTGAGGATGATGCATTAGTTTCTTCTTGACAAACTATACAAGTTCCTGTGGGATATGACCAAAAAGTCTCTGAGCTTTTTAT